TGAGTATATCTTTAAGTCATTTCTTTCATCTCATTGACGTACAATCAATTGAGGAGGTCCTTTCGCCACACCTCTCGCCTCAAATGTTAAAAAAAAAGTTATTAGATATGACTAAAATTAATTTTTTTCTAATAGTTGAAGTCCTTATTAATCTAATACTGAACTTTTAACTATACCTTACCTTGCAAATTTTTGAGAATTTTTTTTTTAAATGTGAGTATTTGTACAGTGCCTCACGAGAAAGTAAGTCCTCAACAACAATTCTCGAATTATACCATTATTTATGGATTAGATGGAGTAGAAAAAAACTAAAAATAAGGTTTTTGAAATATTTAGATTTTGTTTTATACAATAAAATATATATAGTAAACCGCGGAACTTATTGAGAAATTAATATTAAAAAATCACAAAAAATTTTCAAGTAACCTAGTTGAAAAATTTTTTGTGATTTTTTAATAATAATTTCTCAATAAATTCCACGGTAACCTATATATTTTATTGTAAAAAACAAAACCTAAATATTTCAAAAACCTTATTTTTAGTTTTTTTTACTCCATCTAATCAATAAATAATAGTAAAATTAATTATAATTCGAAAATTGTTGTTGAAGTCTTACTTTCTCATAAGACACTGTACAAACACACACATTTAAAAAAAAAATCTCAAAAATTTGCACGGTAAGGTATAGTTAAAAGTTCACTATTAGATAAATAAGGACATCTACAATTAGAAAAAAATTAATTTTAGTCATAATCTAATATTTTTTATTTAACATTGGTGGCGAAAGGACCTCCTTAATTATACTTCTGATGATCAATAGCCCTATTAAAATGACGGGTGTACACTGAGAAAAATACAGCTCCATTGTTATAGTCATATAACTTAGATCAAATGAGATGTAGAGGTTTCAATACATAACAACCATACCCGGAATTTATTTTTGCTCCGTCTGAGGGGGTGCAATTGGGGGTGAAATTTAAAAAAAAAATCATAGAAGCCACAAAGTTTTAATAATAGTAGTTATTGGTTATAAAACAACTAAAAAATATAGTTCTTACATTGATTCAAAATAAATAGTTCATCATTAACAAATTTTATTATTTATAGACATAAGACAATAATTGTATGTCTAATTTGGTTAGTTTTTAAGACCAGACACACGAGTCTGGGCAAAAACAAGTCTTTATTCTAGTAAAACTAGTAAAATGAAAAATATATAGGTATTTCTCTCTGATTAACTTGAATGTGTACTTCTAATAAGAAACATTGAATATAACAAAATAACTGTGTAATAGAAACAGGGGCGGCTCGTATCCAACATTTTGGGGGTTCACAGTAGCAGAATATAGCAACTGTTGGTGTTTTAAAAAAGGGGCGAATTTTATATATTTAGACGAAACATGGATATTTTCTAGGGGTGCAACCAAGAGAATATGACAAGATGATAAGGTAAAGTCCATCAAACATTCCAATGGAGAAGGGAAGCGACACATACTTTTACATGCATGAGGGAAATCGGGTTTTAGAGAAGGGGCTGATTTAATATTTTCATCTAAATCAAAATCCAGTGACTATCACGATAATATGAACACAGAAATATTTGTAAAATGGTTGCATGAAAAACTTCTCCCAGGTTTAAGTGAGCCCAGCGTAATTATTTTAGACAATGCACCTTACCATTCTGAAGTATTAAACAAAAGTCCAACGAATTATTGGACTGTTGATAAAAATTAAAGAATGGTTGACAAAGGAACAATATATATTAAATATATATTAAAATCAGAATTATTACGCTTGGCAAATATACACGCAAAACCAAAAACCTTTGTTGTGGATCAGATTATTAAAAGTTACGTCTACCACCGTATCATTGCCAGTTTAATCCCATCGAATATATATGGGGAATAGCAAAACAATATTATGTCAACCATATTGGGCCTAATGATTATAGTGACGACGCAGTTCGGGAAAATTGGCGAAAAGCACTTTTAATTGCAACTCCAGAAGTGTGGCGGAACTGTATATCCAAGTGCGAGAAACTAATAAAAGATTGGTGGACTCGTGAAAATAAAATAAACGAAATAAATCCAATTAAATAACAATTAATGGTGATGAAGATTATGATATTTTGGATGATAATGACTGATTTTCATTTTTGTTAGCAAGTTTAATTTTTTTGTTTTTCATTTGAAATTCTCTACATGGAACAAATTGTTATGTTAGAAAATATTTTATTTGAGCTAAATAACCCTCTTATTATACATAGACCATATTTTCTGTGTGAAGTGTAATATAAAATTATTATTAGGTTTATAATAGCCACATTAGACTAGATTATTATTTAATTAAAAAGTTGTACATTATTTTTCATTTCATTTAACCAGTTGATATTTCCCCAAAGAACAGGTAAAACTTTCGGGTACTTACCTGGAAATACTCATAAAAATTTTAATCCGAAACCCGCGTAAGTTTAGCGAATTACCTTATCTTAATTACCTCGTTTTTATCAACAACCTTTTTAAAATGATTGAATTATAATAGAAGTTTATTAACAAATATTTTTTTTCTTTAATGACATATAATATACTTAATATGCTGTTATTAAATGGACATGAACATGAAAATTACTGGCTCTAATGCGGAGCACTGCGGTACACCAACAGATATTTTTTTAGTACCTGAATTGTAAATTGAAAATCTTTATAAATATAGATTTGGGATTTTGAGGTCTTGAGAAAACTGATATATAACAAAAGATTATTTAATAAAGAAATAATAGGAGATATTAAATGTATCACTAATAAATTTTATCACCTCATTACTAAGATATTTAGAATTTCTGATGATATACGTAAAATGATTTATAAAACATTAAAAGGTGATCAGACATATTTTTTAATGAGAAAATAAAACAACTCCAAATCAATCCCACATATAATTATTAATCAATTATTATATATTAATAATTATGGGTAATATGTAATTAAAAGATTTCAAAACAAATGCGTCTTTTTAAATAACTGATTTGTGCCTAATAGGAATAGGTTTATTAACAAATATTTTTTAATTGGGAAATACCTACCATGTAAAAAGTAATAAGAAAACTATGTTCAGTTGTATGTAGAGGAAAAAGCTGAATCAACAATAAAATCAATGTCTATATAATCAGCTTATCGATTATATTTTTTAGTATCCAAGGTGGTGATACTTTTCTGTAATAAACTTATCTAATAAATACCATAAGTACCTTATTTTGAATGAACCTAAATGTACCTAACTTAATATTAAAAGTTAAGAAGTAGGACAGGTTTTATAGATCAAGAAAATTTCTTTATTTTTCTGAAAATAGGGATCCAGATAATGCAAACTTTTGTTGAACAATTAATATTTTCTGGTGACTAATAAATTGTATTATTTTCAAAAAATAATGTAAGTACCTAAATAAGTTTGTAATTATGGAAAATTGTAACTGTACCCACCTATAAGGTACTCATTATATTTTCCATCAAATTTATCGATGTACCGAAAGGATATTTTTGTAAAAACATTAAATTTACAATATTTAATTAATATTCCATGAATAAAAAAACTTACATAAATATAGCAAACTAGAGATAATATTTAAATAAAAGAAATAACCAATTTTAATAGTTTCAAAAAGAAGTAATGAATTATATCCAAAAATTCCCATATACATTTTCTTTTTATGGATTTTTATATTTAAATATAAGTACAATTTATTTATTATTTACAATTTCTAGGTAACTCTGTATACTTTATATTGTACCCATTCAATATAAATAAATATTTTAATATTAAAATAAATTAAAAAAGTAAACTGTTTTTAACCCTTTTTAGAAAGCTCTCACATCTGGTGCAGCTTTTACAATTGGTCCAAGATTATTATATAACCCTAGACCTTCAACAAATAGAGACCTTTGCAATATATACTATAGTCTATTTTTATGTATGAGAGAGTATTAAAATAATAAAGCGTTCGTAATCCATAGGCGTAGCACTTCTTTTAGTAGACAGTTAAAATATTTTTTGAAGTTATTCCTCGAGTATACACTTATATTTTCACCTAATTAACCGAAACACATCAAAATAACTAGGGTTTAGTTAATTTAAAAAGGGGATGACAGAAACTAACTTTTTTCCACAACAAATTTAAACAAAAAAGTGAAAAATATCCATATCTATAAAAAAATAGTATTTATGCTCATTTTTGCTACTTTCCATCAAAAGTATTTAACTAGGGTTTAATTATTTCAAAAAGGGGATGATAACATCAAACATTACTACAGAAAGACTCAAAAATTATCAATATCTATAAAAAATGTCATTTATGTCCATTTTCGTGATTTGTAATGCTAATTTTCCATCAAAATTAGCATTACTAGGGTGTATTTCAAAAAGGGGATAATAGCGAGAAACATTTTTTTTTTTCACCACTAACTTACAACAAAAAAGAAAAATCCATATTAAAAATAATGTCATTTATATTTCCTTTCTTGATTGATACCTGCTTAGTGCTAACTTTTCATCAAAATTAATTAGGGTTCACTTATTTCAAAAAGGGGATGACAGCGACAACAAAAAAGGGATAATTTCTTTTATCCTAGTACAATAAGTATTTACAATTTTTAGGCAATTTTACTACCTACTGATCATGTTTTTTATTATAAATATTATTAGGGTTACCTACAAACATATTTTAAAATAAAACCATCGTTTTATTAACGAGAAAACCGTTTAGGCAACAAACGTTCACCCTAGCAATCGTTTTCAAATCGAAATCGATAACAAAACTGACAATTATCAATTTCCACGCCGGCTGCGACAACTAACTCACTAAATAGGGAACTTCCTACAACTATTAAATTAAAAACCGGCTTCACTTTACCACATACAGAGATAATGTAAATATGGCCCAGTTAAAACAGATATCCGAGGTGTAAAAGCAGCCATACTCATACACAACATTTTGAAATACATACCTTGTCTGCCTACGATTTCAGCCACATGCTCCGAACTGGGTACAGGAACACATTCGGTCATATTCTGCGACTTCTTTGATCTGACTTCCTCCAACCCCACGTTAGCGAGGGGGTTGACGAACGAATTCATATCACCAGGACTTTCGGGTTCTGAGACAGAATTTAAGGGCTCGAAACCGAGCATAGAGAGCTCTAGAGCTAGCTGCAAAGCACGCTCGTCTCCAATTCCACTGCCTCGATCCATATCGGCGAAAAGATTTGATGCCGGCATTTTCGCACCAAAGGGAAAACAAAAACACAGTTTTTCGGAAACAACCGAATGTGATTGTCGCTGATTTTCTAAGCACTATACCTTCGATAGCATAAAAACGACGTTTAAGTATTTAAAAACGAGTTCACTGGTACAAAAATATATATTAAATATCTATTTCTCTAGTATTGTATTTTAGTTCTACGTGTCAAGCAGTTACACTCCGCTTGCCTGCTTGAAACTAACTAAATTTCGGCTACCCAGCGTGGCCGAGCCTCACCATGTGCGCAAGGGTCTTGGTAGAAGGCATGCGCAGTTGAAAAGCCGGGCCGCGAAATTTGAAGCCGGCAGCGTTATTGGCGGTTCGATTTTTGACTGGTAGGGGCACTGGCGGGATGTTGTAGCCGGCCGAGACTACGAAATTGTTTATTGCAAACAAAGAATAAACACGTGGTTTTCGCCCGTTGTAAGTTTTCCAACCGGCGAGACGGTTGAGGACCGCGCTCTCGTTTTTGTTTAAAACTTGCAAGTCGGTCAAAAAACAATGAACATTCGTTTTATCGTTTTGACGATGGTAAATATCGAATAATTGCATTAATCGATTGTTCGCTCAATTGATGGTTATTTCGATTCTTTAAGCTAGGGTGACCATACGTAGAGCAAATACTACTAGAGGGAGTATTCCGGAGTATTCCCCTCTTCCCCGCGCTAAATTTTGTTAGCAACATCTACTCCCCCCGAGGGGGGAAATACCTCTTCTGTAATTAGGCATTCCAAACTGAATGGCTACCAGTGGGTTTTGACAGGTTATAATATATAAAAATTATGGCAACCCTGTAGGCCTGGTGATTTGACAAGGTCAATGAAATAGATAGTTACATAGATTGATTATCCATGTTTTTCAAAATAAACATAAGCATATGCCTTGAAGTAAAAATGTAAGTAATTATTTTTTTTAAATATCTAAAGGAAGAAAATTGGTTTTAAAACACATTTTTGCTAAACCGATTCAAATTAATAAATATTTGCCAGGCAATATTGCCCGAGAATACCGATTGAGGAGAAGCGACAGTAGCTGTTGGTGCCTTTGATATCGGATGTACCTTTTTCACAGACTTTGACTGATACACAACTTAGCACGCTGAGAAAACATGCTTATTTTCTACACTGAGCGAAATAGTTTGGCAAATTATCTGAAATTATTGTTATAGTCCATGCGCAAATGTTGCAATGTGATTTAATTACATTGAAGTAGTTAGGGTTAATAGCAATGCTGAAATTTCGGCACCAAAATATTAGTTATTTACGTAACAAGTCCCGAAAGTGATATTTTACGGGATGAGTAGGCAGGACTCGCCTACGGCTCGCCCTGGAAGCCTGTCGCTTCTCCTTGATCGGTATTCTCGGATATTGCCGCTCGCAAACGATCAGCTTTGAGTAATCTATATAACTATATACATATCACTGACTCTGTTAATAATAGCATGCCAACAGGGTTGCCATATCTAAACTGTCAGTCCCCACTGGTAGCCATTTGGACAGGTCGTTGGAATGCCTAATTGGCTTATTTAATCAGCGTTGACAAGTTTGACAGCGAGAGTTTTGATACTTTCTGACACATGTCAATTTTTGATTTGTATTTTACGAAAAATATAATTGAACTTGTCATTTCGAAAAGGGCCTGAGTCCGTTAATTAAAACTTTTCAGGAGCACTAAAAATATGTATCATGTGAAAAAAGTCTGTGGTGCTAAAAAAATGAACATAGAAGGCGATAAATAAAGGACATACCGTAAAATGGGGCGAAATTGATCAATTTTTGTTTTGTTTTAAAGTGTACTTTCATTCTAAACTCAATAAACGCAACGAATTATACATAAGAAGGTGTAGTTACAATACATAAAACTTTTATATACAGGGTGGCTCACGCTCAACGGGTCAGAGCTTTATGGAAAAACGACCAAAGATATAAAAAATTCGTTTGGGAGGAATACGTAGGTTACAGACGGCTACAATTTAAAATTTGTTAGATGTATACAGGATTTCCCACATAAGAGAAAATATACAAAGTTATATTATTTTTAATGGAACACCCTGTTTTTTATTTTAGAATTAAAAACTACATCAAAAATAATGTCAGTTAACTAAAGGTTCCCTATTACTATTATTATTAGTTTTCGATTTATTTGAATTTTTAAGGAAAAAAAGTCTCCCAGAAATTAATTGTTTACTCTTGTTTGAATAATTTTTAATGAACTAATTTTTTTTTCTTATGTGGGACATCCTGTATACATCTAACAAATTTTAAATTGTAGCCGTCTGTAACCTACGTATTCCTCCCAAACGAATTTTTTATATCTTTGGTCGTTTTCATATAAAACTCCGTCCCGTGTATAATAAAATTCAAAAATATTTAAAATTTTTGCCTTTATAATGAAAATATCAACTGGTCAATTTTATACCTTTAGTGGGGTCAAATTGATCACGTGTATTTAAATGCATAGAAATAAATCCCAACGAAATTTTATTTGATCGGAAAAAAGTTATAATATAATTTTATGATGGGGGTGAAATTGATCAATCTCTAAATTTTATTTTTGTGTAATAATAAAGTTTTATTGGCAAATATTAAAGTTTTATTGGCAAATATTAGAGAGTTATTGCAAGTTCACTTAAGGTCAGTCACTATTAATGCCGCTTTTATTTTGACATCTGAGCATGCGCAGATCACTAACTTTAATAAAAATTGTGCCTATCCTTAATAGAGAGATATTGCAAATTTCTATAAAGCCAGCCACTAATAGTGACATCGTAATTAGAGTCAAATAAATTCCATGCTAAAATCAGACTTATTGTAAACCTGAAATTTTGACATTAGAATCCTCGTCCTTATACTTATTTCTAACCTTATTTTAATAACTAAATTATAGTTAATCTTTTTTGTTGTCTATAATAGTATATAATATTAAAGAGGCATTAGAAATTATAATTTTAGAAGGTTTAAATGACGATTATATTAAATATTTAATATTAAAAAACTTCTAACGGATACGAATGTCGGCGAGCGCATCCGAAAGCTATAAAGTCGCCACTATCTGCTGCCCTTAAACATCCACAATTAAGGACAGGCACAATCCTTAATAAAGTCAGTTTTAGAACATAAACATCTGCGCACGCTTAGATGTCAAAATAAGAGCAGCACTAATAGTGACTGACCTTAAGTGAACTTGTAATAACTCTTATTATGGACAGGCACAATCTTTATTAAACTTAGTGATCTGCGCATGTTCAGATGTCAAAATAAGAGCGGCACTAATAGTGACAGATCTTAACGAGACTTGCAATAACTCTCTATTAAAGTTTTATTGGAAAATATAAAATAAAGGAACAAAACTATGATCAAATAGAATACAGAAAACACATATAGTTATAGAAAAAATAGCAGGTAGGTAACTACATTTCATTAATGTCCACTATATTCTTGAAAAAATATGCTTCTTGGCCGTCGAAATGTTTCATTTCTGGATCTGGCAACACAGCTATTATGTCAGAAAAGCCAATTGAGAATAAATCATCCTCCACAGTTTGAAAAATCTTTTTCCCCTCTACTAGAGACTTCATGCCTACTACTTCAATTTCGTCTTCGGAAATATTTTGGACCATGGCAACGTATCTATAGTTGGTTTTCTTCCTTGAACCCCCTAATACTTTCACCAGCAAAAAAATCCCTTTTTCTACGTTATTTTTGTTTGAAGTCAGATAATCTACTTCTTCCTGGATATCTTCCACTGGTTCGTTGTCGGAATCATCGTTGGTCAGTGATTCAGGTGGACTGGATTGACTATCTGAGTCTTCTTTGACAGGCGCAGACACACTCTTTCCGGGTTCGACTACAATATTTTGCCTCCTTACATTTCGTCTATTTGGTACAGCTGCAAATCTTTGCTGTTGCAAGTATTCAACCAGGACATTATTGACAACTTGATCAAGTTCTTCTTTGAGGTTTGCTGATGGAATTTTTCGCAAGACAGACTCAAGATCGAATGGTGCTATTCCAGTGGCTCTGAAAGACGCTATTAAGTCTTTTTTTACGGCGCCATTGGCGTCTTTCTTATCCATCTCTAGCAAGGTCGCGTTAATCAAGTACGGAAAGTCTTTTTTGTCTATGGAAGCCGAAAGCTTATTAGCAGCTTTCCATCTGGTTAGAACGCCCTTCCAAGCGATTTTAAAAGGTCGGAAAAACCCGACATCCAATGGTTGGGTAATATGTATCGAGTTCTTCGGTAGACACACAAATGAAATATCATTCTCGGCGCACAATCTTAACACATCGTTTTTAAAATGAGACGATAAATTCAAAAATATTAAAGTTTTAAATAGTGATCAATTTCGACCCACAGAATCAATTTCGCCCCATTTTATGGTATATAATTTTTGTGACATTAATATAATAAAAAAATATTAATCATACAGATATTTGAAATAAAAAAATTTGGACTTATGCCTTTTTCAAAATGACTTCTTAGATGCATAGTCAAATCCAAAGATTTTCAGAAGAAGGGTTAGTAATCATCATTATTTTCTTGATAATCATTGTTTGTTGCAGTTGTTGGCCATGCAAAAACCTCTGTATAGAAATCTTGGTACTCTGCTGAAATATATTTTGCTAATTTGTTCAAATTTGCCATTTTCTTTTTATTGATTGGCACTTTATCAGCATAAGCAGGAGTATCACTTGTTGGTAAGTGTGGCCTGGTACCCATTGTAAAAGCTGGAAATCATAACTGATAAAACAATCTATGGAACCACGTGTTGTTACAAGACCTGGTGTGGACTTAGAAAAAGTGAAATGTGACGCTTTGAAAATAGCAAAAGTTGTTTTTTGGTCCTTGTGTACTCCTTTTCCATAGGAATCCACAGACAGCATCACTTTCTTATAATGTTTCGGCCACCATTTTTTTATGTCTATAATATCTTCAGTTTTCGGCCTTTGTATTTCAAATTTTTCATTAGCTTTAACTATAAGATTTTCATACTCGGCTGGAGTGTAAATCCTCTCATTTTTTCGAATATGTCTCTTTGCTGTCCCAAACATTCTGTCGTTTGGCAGAAATGAATATTTTTTCCCTTGAAGACTCAAAATTAAAGACATTTTATGAACTTGTTTTTCAAATTATTGTCAACCAAATTGATCTTAAGGATAATTATGAGATCATTACACAATAGCTTCTTGCCAGAAGATAACGACAAACTGTAAAAATTTCATTTAAATCGATTAAAATATCGATTAAAATCGATTTTTAACACTGTTAGTATCTCGAAAACGAAGCATTTTGATATCCCCTAAAAGTTTCTCGGTATATTTATGAGCCACGCTGTATACATTTACGTACATCGTTGATCTTAAAAAAATTGACATGCAACGCTGTTTGTATTTTATCCCTCGGGGTATAGAAATAATCTATGCAACATTAGCTCTAACCTGTAAATTATTTATTTTGGCCATGCCAGTGCCAGCAAAATTTACTTATTATTAGGTATTTTTAACGCCACAGCGGTTCGCAGGTAGATATTTATCATTTAGATATAATTTAGGTCCAGGGAATTGAGACTCGAACCGAAACCAGTTTGGGTTTGAAGCAGCGGCGGCGCAATAAAAGAGATCTTTTCTAATTTCGGGGTAAATTATGTGCTATTATATGACCATTCACAAATATCTCTTAAATAAAAGAATATCGAGTAACTTGCTTTATTCCTAACATCAAATTATAGTCTATTTTTATGTATGAGAGAGTATTAAACTAATAAAGCGTTCGTAATCCATAGGCGCACTTCTTTTGAAGTTATTCCTCGAGTATGCACTTATATTTTCACCTAATTAAACTGCTTATAACTTCTAAACAGCTGAAGGTAAAAACGTGCAATTTTTTCTAAAATGTTTTATTTTTCCACAGGGTATGTTAATGTTTATAAAGGTTTAAACTTTGACTTTTAAACAACGTTACGTTCATAAATAATAATTTTAATATAAAAACTACTTCTTACTTACAAATCCAAATCAGAATCGAAATCAGAAGATGAACTGTCGCAACCAATATTTACAATGAGTGGCTCGATCATTTCATCAGTAATATTGTCCAACTTCCACATTTTCTCTTCTTCTTTAATCGTATGATTTACTGCCTTTTCCCAGTTTTCAGGCTTCACATTATTTACAGCCTCCAAAAACAACTGTTTAACATCACTCATTTTAAAAGAATTATTTTTTCTTGAAACTTCTTCCTTTATCTGTGCCCATATCAGTTCAATCGGGTTTACTTCGAAATGATATAGTGGTGATTTAACCACCGTCATCCCACGATTTTTTGCAATTTCATCAATTTTATATTTTTTAAATTTCTCTTTATGAAGGGAACACAAATGATACAGTTCTTTTCTCACAGAACCGGGATGGACTTAATATTCTTTGAATTTAGCCAATTCTGTAAATCTTTTTTTAACTACTTGGTTGTGGGCATTTTTTCTATAAGTCTCGAGTGATAACTTGCATTATCCATTACTATTATACAGTTCTGAGGAAGAAGATCTATAATTTGTTCGAACCACTCTTTAAAGACATCAGCGTTCATAAAGACATCAGCATTCATGTCCTCATGGTAGTCACCGGTACGAGTAGATTCAAAAGTCAATAAACCACCTTTAACAAAACCGTTTGAACTACCGATGTGTACTATTATTAGTCTGCGCCCCTTTCCTGATGGTGTATTTAAACCAGTAGATAAATTATTTAAAAAAGCCTGTCTTCGACTTGTAACAGTTTCATCTTGCCAAAATTTATTTGGTTTATGTCCCTCGTTGATCCATGTTTCATCTAAATAAAATATATTTTTTCTTTGGTTTCTCATTTCTTTTATAGTCCTTAGGTAATTTCTTCTCCATACTACAATATCGCTTCTTTCTATTAAAATAGACTTTCTGGAATGCTTTTTCCATAGAAAACGCTATTTCTTTTAAAAGTTTCCATAGTGTGCTTCGACTCATTTCAGGGTAATCTATATCATATCGAACCGTGGCAAGAACTTTGTCTACTGTCGGAAATTCTTTTCTAAAGAAGAACGCATGTACTTTCCTTCGAAGTCTTTCTTTCAAAAGATTTTCTAATTGAAATTTTGGTTTTCCTGGAGCTTTACATGCTGTTTGAAACTCGCCACATTTCTCTTCTTTAACAACTCTGTAAATCGTAGATTTCCCAACACCAAGCGTACTACTAACTAATTCCACTGTGTCATCAACACTTTTACATAAATGTTTGTCTGTAAATGATTTAAAACAATAAAATATTAATGTTTTTTCATTAACTGTTAAACGACCGATTTTTTGTCGTTTACGCGGCCCTTCCAAATTTTCCATGATCACACTAGAATTCACACTGCACCTTGCATGTTGCAACTAAACGACATTTAGTAAACTGTCAAGAATACACAACTTGGAGCTCCTTACTAAATGGAAAACCTATAATCGCATTTTCGGTGAAATTTGTTGGGAAGGTATTTATCTACTTATAATTCGATTACTGTAAGAAATTCTTGGAATTAAAATAAAACAAAATTGGCGAATAGGTACTTATTGAAAATAATCTTAAGATACGGCTATGTAATCTTTAATACACAGGGCTTTTGGCCTATCCAAACCTTTTTCTATTGTTCTGTATAGCTTATGTTTATAAAGGACAAATAAAAGACCCAAAACTTGTAATAGCTCAGGTACATTTATTACAATTTTAGGAAATATTTAGATTATTCTGTAAAAATATTTAAAATGACCGTACTAAGTTTTGCATTAGAAATGCTGTTTTATTACTCTCTCATACATAAAAATAGACTATAGTACAAGGTACACCACAAAGTACACATTATTTTACATTCATTTTTTTGTCAACTGTCATTGAATATAGACTGTCCACTAACTACACTTAGACACACAGAGTTGCAAGCTATTTTGATTCTATCATCATAAATTTGGAAACGCAATACTAAACAAGTTAGACATTAATCGAGATCCTAGAAAAAAATATCAACATATATTTGAAAATGAAGTAAATATTATTATAGAATGAAATGAAATGTTATTTGTAATGAGTGAAAATGTATTGCCGTAAGACGTATTTCAGCTTCAATCTTGTGAACAAAATGACTACTAATTTATCTTGTATTTGAAACTTTTTGGCTGTCTATTACGCAGATTGAAATATCGAACAATTACGCACTAATGGAAAACCCTGTACACATTTCTAGTATTTGACATGTTCTTCGTTAAATTTATGTTACATTACGTAAACTAACTAACTGAATGCCAGATGAAAAATCTAGCAGGTCATTGTAAAACACCCGCGTGTGACTAAAATATTTGTATAGTAAATATATTATATATATATATATATATATATATATATATATATATATATATATTTATATATTTTTTTTTGTTGCTCTAGTCACTTTTCTATTAATTTCGCAATGCAAAATTGGTCATAGATAATTTATAATCATTTACGTTAATCTTGGAGCGTTGCAAATTTGCATTTACTTATTTAAATCGTTTTGTAAAATTTGCAAGACTTTTGTATTTCTTTTATAACTGCAAAAATGACGAATTGTTGATTTTGGTTGATTTTTCAAGGTTCCGGATCTTGTCCAAGGTTACAAATTTACGAAATTGTTTAGAAGAATAATAATAATAATAATAATAATAATAATAATAATAATAATAATAATAATACCATTTCCGCAACCACTCTTTAACATTTTTGCATTTTTTTTACAAAATTAGAGAAAGACAAACAAATATTTTGCTATTAATAAAAAAAAATATTTCCGTTTAAAATCAGAGGTTGCAAATTGGAATAGCTGTTCCAAAAACTTGTATGAGTTTGCAAAATATTTGCAATTTTTATTAGTCTTAGTGACAAAAAACAAAAAAAAAACATTAAAACTTGAACCCTTATCTCCCCTATCTTGTTCCGCCGCTGTCCACGAATACCACAATAATAATATATCGATGTTTCAATCTCGAGGGCCGGTACATTATTATAATAATGATTTTATTCAACTTGCAATTCATTCGGCCATTTTTTATGGCGTTTATTGGCTGCTTTAGTGAGGCTGCTCTTTCCACGGTCGAACGAGGAATTATCCATCCTCTCATTATTTATATTGAAAATTGGCTTTTACGATATCATAAGGGTTTTCACTTAAAAAACAATATCGGTCAATGTTTTTATAAAAAATGCTCGCGCTTAGACCAGTACTGTTAAAGTTACAAAAGGTGCAATAAATAATAAATGCAATGAATAATAAAAAATTCACATATTATTATTGTGTTTCGCTAATCATACAGGGTGGGCCATTAGTGCGTGGGTGGAAGATTGCGGGTTTATTAAGGTACATATTTAAAATTCATTTTTAGGGCATGGTGTAGGACCTCTAAGCCTACAACCTAAAAATATTTTCGATGAAATTCCAATTGTTCTACAGGGTGATTCATATCAAAGTTATGTTTTTTTAATAGGAATCTCCTATATATTATTACATATTTGGATTCCTCGGTCAATTTTAGTGAGACTTTATGTATCACACATGGTATCTAAAATGAGCCGTTAAGCAGCAATTCATTATTTTTTTAAAAAGTAGTTTACACAATAATATGATGGTTCAAAAAGCACAATCCATTTAGAAAATAGAAATAGTTGAATAAACATTTGAAGAAGTTTCAACGTTGAGCAGTTCATGCTTTGTTTTAATTTTTTTTAGATAAATAAACTGATCGAAGAAAGTTAGGGATATTGTGAATTCTCTGAGAATATAATACCTATTTACCAAAAATATTGTAAAACGTATATTTACTTCCTTTTTTATACATTTGTTTACCTGAAAAAAGTTATTAATTAAAATTTACACACAACTTTTCTCTAATAATGTAGCTAAACAGATAATTATCAAAAACACAATATCCTTACCTTTTTTCGATCACTTTATAGTATAAATTAAATACAAATAGAATTTTTATTGCATACCATCAGAGAAATAGTTTATCTGATTCGAAGACCAGCAATTTAGCTTTATTGTGCATTGAGAGTGAACTTGTTGACTCTCT